TTACTGTGTGTCTGGAAGTGATCTGGGGGCTTTTGTGGCGCAGCCTTCTCGACTGTTCAGTACTTTTTACAGAAATGGGCTTATTCCATATGTAATGTTTTATTGTTTTTTTCACATAACAAAACTATGTGAGTATCTCTCCACATCATCATCATCATCATTGTTATTATTTTTAATCCTCGCTTAAGGGTATGTTTTATTGATTTTACAGAGAGAGGAAGGAGGGGGGTGGAGAGAGAGAAACATCTATGTGACAGAGAAACATTACCAGTTGCTTCTCGTACATGCCCCCATTGGATGCCACAATCTAGTCATGTGTCCTGACCGGGAATCAAACCTGCATCCTTTCGGTGTGTGGGATGACGTTCCAACCAACTGAGCCACATGGCCAGGGCTCTTCACATTATTAAGCATTCTTATAAAACATCACAGCTATGCCCTTCTTCATCTAACACCAGAATTGTTTCCTGACAACCTTTCATGAAACATCCTTGAAGATTAGTCTTAATATTCACTCATATCTATTTTTTTAGAAACATATTACAGAACATTCTGATGCACACACACAAAGGAAGAAATAGGCTGTAGGTAATGGGGTGGGGAGGGAGGGAAGGAGAGGGAAAGAGGAGTAAGGGGGAAGGAGAAGAAAGAAGGAGATTGAAGGTAAAATTCTGACAGGCAGTGGCAAAAGCAGGTAGACACAGGTCTGGGCAGATACTAACCACACACGTGCACCCTGCCCTCATCAGGGTCCTGGTAGGCTGGCTGGTGAGGGAGCTCCTGGGAGGAGGTGCTTAGATTCAAAAAGTGAGGATAACTGAATGGCGTTTGGAGAGTCAACAAAAGGTCCTGTCAGACCCTAGAGCTCTGCCATCTGTGGGCAGGCACGGGTCCCTCTGTCTGCCTCTCCTGGGGGAGCTTGCCTTGCCGGGAGCCCGTCTCGGGGGTCAGCTGCAGTGGTTGTGCGGAGAAGAGAGCATGAGAAAAAAGTTAAGGCCCCAGCATGTCACACATCCTTGACTAGGAAGTTTCTTTTCAAACTGGACTGTGCAACCAATGGCATCTTGCTATTACTCTCTTACTCCCCTGGTGTGAACCCCAGGAACATCATGGAAGATACTGTGTGGCTGGACCACTCCGGATGGAAAGGGTGGGAGTGTCACTTTGACATCAAGGGCCACTGACTAAGAAAAAAATACTGTAAAAAAGGCCAACTTAATCCACCCATGTTTATTAAGAAAGAAAAACTTAATGTGTTAGGTCTCTTAAAAACATTGTATAAGTAAATATTTCACATATACAGAAAATTGTGGAAAATAGTATAATTAGTACCCATGTACACCAAGCTTAATGAAATGAGAGTTCCCATATTTGCATTGTATCTTTCTTTAGAGGAAATAAAACATCAGAGACAGTTGCAGCCCATTGGCTGTACAATTATTAACCCTTTCCCAACCCTCCCTTCCTAGAGGCCATTCTCCAGAATTGGAATCTGTTTTTTTTAGCCATATTTCCCACTTTTATTTCATCTCTCCACATCTATGCATCTATCAACAGCATATAGAATTGTTTTTGTAAATATAAAAAATTTTGTGGGGCATATATGGCATGTTGGGGAGTGACATTATAATTTTAGAAGTATATATTATTGAATAAAAGGTTTTAAAAGAAAAAAACTTTATGTAACTGGTATCATGCCATGGGTTTCATTGCACAATCTCATTTGTTCATTCAATATTATGTTTTGAAGCGCATCTGTTTGTGTATAGACATTCAATCTGTTCATGCCCGTGGCAGTGTAGCATCGCATTGTACAACTGTGGCAGTGTGCGATGTCTGTGACAGTGTAGCATTGCATTGTACGACTGTGGCAGTGTGCGATGTCTGTGACAGTGTAGCATCGCATTGTACGACTGTGGCAGTGTGCGATGTCTGTCAGGAGCTGCATTGTCGACTGTGGCAGTGGTTGTGGATGACATGTGTGTCTGTACAGTGTAGCATTGCACTATATGACTGTGGCAGTGTGTGATGTCTGTCACAGTGTAGCATTGCATTGTACAGCTGTGGCTCAGTGTCTCTGCCATTTTCCTCTTGATCAGCATTTAGGATTCAGATTTCTTGCTGTCACAAAATGCTGCAGGAAACATTCTTGTACACGCGTGAGGTTTCCTAGGGTACACAATTGGGGTAGATTGCTAGGTGGTAGGGCACGCGCATTGTGAACTTCACTAGGTAAAAGCAGATTGCTTCCTGAAGGGGCTTAGATCAATCCACACTCCTGCTCTCTCTGTTTAAGTCTTCCCATTGTTTCACACTCTTCTTAACTCTTGCCATTGTCATACTTTGTGATTTTCACCAATTTGACTGCTGTGAAATACTGTGTTAATGTTGCTTTCATTTGCCTCTCTAAGGAATTTTTTAACTTCTTTAATTTTACTTTGCAGTTAGTGAATTTTATAATTCAAAACAGTCAAATTTTTTCAAGTACAGTTTACATTGAATATTATTTTGTATTAGCTTCAGATGGACAGCATAGTGGTTAGACAATCATGCACTTCACAGGCTGGTCCCCCAACATTTAAAGTACCCACCTGGCATCCTACATAGTTGTTACAATATTATTGACTCTCTTCCCTATGCCGTGCTTGGCATTTCTGTGACTGTCTCGTGACTACCAATCTGCACTTCTCAACCCCTTCACCTTTTTCATGCAGTCCCTCTAATGAATTTTGAGAGTATCTTTTTATATGTGTCCTGCCATTTAGGTTCCTCTTGTAATGGGTTTTTACATTTATATATAGGCAACACAAAATTTACTCTGTGAAAGACTGTGAATAATAAAATATGTATTTCTGTTTTATATTTTTATAACCTGTGTTTAGAACTAGGGGGAGGAAGGTATGAAGGACTGTGCCCCTCATTTCCTTGTGTTGTAGATTTAGAGGTGGATGAGACATTGGGCGGGATCTGGAAAGAAGAACCGCTGATGTTTTTCTAATGCTCGGCAGTTTACGCAGCCCCTTTAAATCCACTTGATTCTCCCAACCACCCAGGGAAGTGCGTAGAGGGCTGTTATTATCGTGTTCTTGTTTGCTCATTTTATAGATGAGTGGCTCTTGGTCTCTGGGCCAGTAAATGCTGAAAGTGGACCTCAAACCTGGGTCTTCTGCCCATGGACTCCGCTGTCCTTCCAAGACCTCATTCATTTCTCTCTGGGGTACTTAGCCCAGCACTTCCTGCTGCTGGGGAGGGAGAGGTCTGCTGCCTTTGATTGTTAGCACGATCAAGCTGCTTTTATTTGGTCCTTATTGATGTGAGGGGCTTGAACTGTCGTAGGTAAGCTGCTTGGATGGAGTTAGTAGGACTAGGATTTAAATAATGTTAAGTTTAATAAACTAAGCAACAATGTGTTAGTGTCTCTCAACCTTGACAGCATATTAAATAACCTTGGGTCCTGGAGAGCCTGGGTCATCTCAAACCAATGACATCAGAATAGGGGGAAGAAGAGGCATTCTCTCTCTTTGTTTTAGGGATTCTCATATTCTTGTTTTCTATAATTTATATTATTGGTGGTATTTGTTTCTAAAGAGAAAAATTGTATTAAGTTCCATGATGTTATTTCCTTCTAGCTGGTATCTTCAACTACATTTCTAGCTCACTTTTACCCATGAAAGTCTCCTCCTGTCTTTAATAAATAGCAAAAAACAAGGTTTCTGTTTTTCAAGCTGTCAGCTGGCCTTGGCCTCACAGAGGTTCGTCAGCCCTGCTCCCACCGACTCCCTTTCACAGCCCTTGTCCAGAGGCACCTCCTCCACACTTCCCCTCCTCTGCCCTACTCTCTACTTCCTTCGATTCATCCCTCTACTCTTCTTCCTCACAAGCTTCCTTCCCTGCTAAAATAGTCTCATCTTACTGCATCGACAAAGATATCTATGTTTTCTCCTCCTCCTCCTCTTTGGTAGCCCTTCCATAAAACTTTCCATCCCTGATCAGCACCCTGAACCCACCTGAAAAAGGCAGCTCAGACTGTGTGTTTTATTGACTCACTCGTAGACTTGGAAGACTTGCTGTCATGGAGAATGATGAGGGTGTCATGTGAGGAGGGTACCTTCTGCTTTCCTTGAATCCATTCATATGAAGCTTCTGCTCCCCAGTGGTGAGGTGGCTCCCAAGAGATGAACATTAGGCACACCTGTGAGTGTGAACTGGTTCTGGTTCCTGTGTCACTCTGTCTGTCCATCCCAGAGTGTGAGGGAGCCATGAGCAACCTATGTAGGCTTTATGCTGTGTCTGTCCAAGGGTTCCCTGGAAGCAGGCCTGTTCCTACCAAAATCTCTGGCTAGTCCCAAAGAAGGAATCAGGATTCCTGGATAAAACAGATTTCTGCTAATCCTCTCAGCCCAGATGACATCACATCAGAACTCAACTTTGCAAGGTTTGTTTGAGACTCAACTGGCCTCCAGTGTACATTCACTGGAAGGCTCTCGTCATTGGCAGTTGGCCAATGAGGGGCTTGTGTGCCTTGCAGGATACATATACTAAATGACTAAAAATAAAATAATCTGATTATATACTTTATATTCGGGAATATACGTTGTACTCAGGAACACACACACTTGAAAAGTTCTTTATTCTTCAGAACATACATCTCCACAGTCCTAGAGAATTTGTTTTCTCACCACTACATCTCCTACCCAGTGAGATGCTGTATTTCTCATCCGGTCTTTACCCAGTTCTGTGACATTCTCAGTTCCTGATCTTGCTCCTCCTACTGTGCTGGGTGTCTCCTTCCACTACACTGGGTGTCTCCTTCCACTACACTGGGTGTCTCCTTTGGTCCAGTTGCTAGAAAGCATGTGACTGATATTAAGAGAAAAGAAACGAAATATGGCGACCGTGCCAGGCAAATGAGAGTGCAAGACAGAGCTTCTGACATAACATCAGGAGAACGCCCCCTGCCTGCGTTATGCCTCTGACCTGTCTGTGCTGTTTGGTTCTAGGAGCTCGTGTGAATGCCAAGGACAACATGTGGCTGACCCCACTGCACCGGGCTGTTGCCTCCAGAAGCGAAGTGAGTGATTATCTCCTTTTATCTAGCTCCTTCAGTCCCTAGAAAGAGAACAATTCTTTCTGTTGAATTAGGATCGTCACTGGTGAACAAAAAAAGCTTTTACTTCTAATGCAAGGAGGTTACCAACATTGAACAATTGTCTGTTTGAGTGCCTCCTGCATGCGAGTCATGGCGCTGGGGGGTGGCAGGGGTAGCCTATGGTGGGCGGCATGGCCCCCGACTCCAGTAAGCTGTCAGTCTGGAGGGGGAAGCAAATAGGTAAGCAGATCAGAGCAATGTCAGAACTGACTCAGAGGAGGGAGCAAATAACTGTCTGCTTGAATAAGGAGTCTTCCAAGAAGAGATGCCAGTTGAGCCGGTCCTTAGAGGATGAGTAGGGACTTAGCAGGCCAGGAGGAGGAGGGAGGGCTGAGTAGGAGGATAAAATGCTCAAGGACGAGAGGCACAGAAGGGAATGAGTGGCAGCTTCAGCTGGACGTGGTGGGAACCTGGGCTGTAGCAGGAGACAAGTCTGCTAGGGGAGGCTGGGTTACCTGGCGGAGGGCTGCGTGCTCTCTGAGCAGCGGGAGTGGTCACAGCAGAGATAAGAGTGAACATGACAGATTTGGGACTTTGTGGGGCCAGTTGGAAAAGAAGCCAGTGGATGCATGGTGATGCCATTAACTGAGAAGGCAGAGGCAGAAGAACAGGGGTTGGGAAGCTGATCAGTTCTGTTTGAACATGCCGAGTTTGGCTCACACATCACTGGAATGTAAGCCCATGAGGGCAGAGATCTGTACTGTGTTCCCTGATGTATCCCAAGCCTCGTACATTGTAGCTACTTGAGAAGGAATTTATTTGAATGCTAGAAATTCAAGCAAAGGTGGCTAATCAATGACCATTATTTATACAGGTCTAGAGCTTAGGAACAGAGAGGAAGATCATTCGAACCGTGGTAAATGGATCAGCCCTCCAGGGAAAGTGTAGGGTCGAGAAGGAAAGACCAGTGTGGGGGAGGGGTGGCAGGGAACCATGGTGACCTTGAGCCCCGAAGCTGGTCAGAGGGGAAGCCTGCCATCCAGGCATCCAGGAGGCTCCAGCCTCAGAGTTGGATTAGTCATCCAACTTGGCATTGGATGACTAGTCTTTGTAGCTGGTTTTACCAAATGAAGCTTCTCCTCTGCTGCCGCAGAAGGTGATGCTCTCCAGGTACACCTGGGAGCCAGCTGGAGGTGTGGCTGAGACCACACACACGGATGTTGCTGGTGTTGATGGCTGACAGAGTTGGCAGCTGTCTGGAAACAACAGTATCCTTGGTAGGCGGCAGCTTAGTGCTCACAGTCTTCCTTGCTGTGCTGTGTGATGTGGGTAGTTTTTGTAAGAGGTTGGTTGTGTTCTCTTTCTGAATAGCCCGCATGTAATGAGGGAGACACATGATCCTACATCGCCTGGCTTGGACCCTGGGAGTTTAGAAACTTCTTATGGTCTCACATTTCCTTTCTGTTTCACCTGGGAAGGCAGGTGCAGTGGGCTGCTTGAGTTCGTACAGCCAGCTTCGTGCGACCAGCTCCTTCACAGAGGAGTGTTTCTTGGTCTTTTTTTTCCTTAATGTAACAGTTTAACAAATTCTTTTTTTTTAAAGATTTTATTTATTTATCTTTAGAGGGGAAGGGGGGAAGAAGAGAGGGAGAGAAACGTCAATGTATGGTTGCCTCTCATGTGCCCCCTGCTGGGAACTGGCCTGCAGGGAACCGGCCTGCAACCCAGGCATGTGCCCTGACTGGAAATCGAACCTCGATTGCCTGGTTCGCAGGCCCGTGCTCAATCCACTGAGCTACACCAGCCAGGCTGTTTCTTGGTCTTTTAAAATCATTTGGTCTTTGGTATTTTAAAAATAAAAATTAAAATTAAGTATCTTTTGAAAGATGTGGGTTTGCTTCCTCTTTTAACCAGAACCAGGTCTTTTTGGCCCAGGAAGACATTCACTGAGCACTTCCTGCGCCAGGCCCTGTGCTTGCTGATGGAACTGCAGCAGAGGGTGAGACACGTGGTCCCTGCCTTAAGCGTGTGGTCTGGTGGGGCAGAAAGACGCAAAAGCAGATTGTTTCAGTACTGTGTGATCGCTGCAAAGGCTTCAGTCCGCAAAACACCCGTTTTCCACCAACCATCAGCTTACCTATTTTTACGTATCTTTGGTCTGTTTGAAGTCAGCCAGCCCAGTGGTGGGTCAACCTTTATATGGGAGAAGGGTGTTTGCTGCTTCCCCAGGGAACCAGCTCCCTCTGCAGGTTTTCTGAGGGGGACGAAATCCCTTGCAGGTGCCTCTTGCCAGGAAGGAATTAAAATGCAATCAGACCCCTAGTTGTAAACAATCAGGGTCATCTGTAAGCTTGCGAAAGAAGCTGTCTTCATATCAGTATCTGTCACAGCAAGTTGAAAAGTGTCTCATGAAGACTGGAGTGTGTGTAACCAGTGTTGGGACTGACTGTGGGCCTCTTCATTTCAAAGCACATTACTCTGAATTTAGGAAGTCCGCATTTAGGAAATTCCGGTTTTCCTTTGTTGGATTCCATCATATCACCTTTACTCCATGACTGCCCTAAATAATAGCTGGGAAAAGGGAAGTGGGCTTTAGGTAGGAAGAACAGAGAATATTTGGACTGGTAATTTGGCTCTTATCACTTGCCAAAGGGGATATGTGTGTTCGGCATGAGAGCCGGTACATCTGTCTGTTGCTTAGATGGGCAAACAGTGCTATTACTTACCCAAATATGTATTAAAATCATTTCTTCTCTGAAAGGCTTCTAAACTCTATACTGTTCTTAAAGCCTTTTGCTTCTAAAATGTAGGTAATTGATTTCAAGGTTCGTTGTTCCATCAAAAAAGCAGAGCCAATGTAGAAGATACAGGCTAGGATATTTACTGAAGGAATTAGGCTGCACCCCACTGTGTGAGCTGCTGCGGTGTACATCCGCCTGTCACCTCCGTTTCTGGGTGGCCCTGTGGTCACTGCAGGCCAGCAAGAAAAGCTGGACGTGGCAGGGGGGAGAATAGGAATCAAACCCGCGAACCCCCAGTCTACAGGATGAAGCACCAACCAACGGGTGACACCAGCCAGGGCAGCATTTTATTTTATAGTTTAAATTTTAAAAGCTCATGTTTTCTCCTTTCCTCTAAAAAAAAAAGTCATTAATGTGGCCTAAATGCTAGGAGACAGGAGAATTGGAGAAATGATGTGGGAGACTAGAATGTCCATGCTTTCCTTGGGTTCTCTGTACGGTTATAAAAAGATGATGACGTAGAGAACGTACATGGTACCTGGAATGAAAGGAAAGCACATCAGCATTTAGTAAGCTGTCAGTTAGAATGTAGGTGAGTCGTGCTCAGATTTAGTGTACATTCTTGTCACCTGGGTGCCTGTTAGAAGTAGCTGTCCTAGCACCTCACCCCACGATGAAGCCTGTGGCTGGGTCCAGAAATCTGCATTTTGAAAAGAAGGTTCCAATGCATGTGGCCTGCACACCGCACTCTGAGTCCTGGGATTGAAGACCGGGACCGCTTTAGTCTCTGGCCTTCCCAATGTTTGAAGCTGGCACTTCTCAAATAGTTGCCTTTGGATTCTTTCATATCCCAAAGTCTCCAGTGACCCCTTTATATTAACTGTAATCATGTCGGGCGAGTTTAGTTTCATAATGGGTACTTTTAGAGGAATCATCCAATTAATTGAACAAATTAGTTGGGCACCAATCTGTAGAATTCTTATAGAACACGAGATTATTGTAAGTAGTAGGGGCTGGGGCCCCAATGATTTCAGTGACAGAGCAAATGCCTTCAGGACTTGAGTGCAGACTCAGGGACGGCAGCCCGCAGGAACGCCTTGTTAATACTTGCATAATATTACTTAGAGAGTTTGCTAATCATTATACTAGTACATTTATTCTACCCAGATTTATTGAATATATACTGTGTACAAGGCATCTGCCAGGCTTTGTAAAGAGCGCAGAAAATTGTATATGGCTCAGACCCTGGCGTAAAGCAACTTGCAGTTTATAAACCTTGACATTGCTTATGCCTGCAAGGACTCAAGTCATAAACAATGACTTTTCCACGAGTAACTTATAACCACTTCAATGCAATGCACCTTTGAGAATAAAAACACCAATATTAGGGGAGACAGTTTTTAGGACACATGCTTCCTCTGTCTTCTCATCTTTTGCACATGCCGCAGTGTGGGTTTCTGCTTTTTATGACAGGGTTGGAGTGGCCTTTTGTTAAAAAGAGAAAGTCATAAAAGGTAGAAATAGAGGGACTGCAAATGCCATCTCCAGGTGCTTCCCGTGGGACACCCACAGCAGCTCTTCCCTCTGTCCGTCCTCTCTGCGTCTTCTGTGGGACAGCCAGTGCTACGGAGCGGACCTCGGCAAGGCCTGCAGTCCTCACAGCGAGGGCTGACTGGCCGAGGCCTCCGTTCAGGAGAAATGCCAGAAGCTTCACACATGCCGGCTCATTAAAAAGAGATCAGGGCTTTGAAGAAGCCTGACTGCAGTGCGGCCTGAGTGCCGGCCTGGCAGCGTGTGTCTCGGTTGCTGTGATAAGAGGGAGCATCCAGAGCCTTTCAGAGCAGTTTGGTGGAGTAATTCAAGCCTCCTAAATTTAATAATAAAATAGAGTTTATAATTAGTTTCTTTATCTTCCTTCATTTTATTTTTTACTTTTTATTGTATTTTATGAAAGTATTGGCTTGAGGTGGATTTGAAATGATAGTTTTCTTTAAAAACTGGTGCTTCACCCCAGAGAGTTTGAGATGTATCATGTAAGCAACTTTTCCTGATTTAGAAAGTGTTCAGTGTTCCTTCCTCCACATTAATTTCTGTTTTATCTTGAAAATTTCTGTAAGATCAAACTCCTGGATATTAATTTTTTTTGCCGATGTGTGATACAGTGTTGAAAATGGGTACTTTTTTTTACTACAGAAATTATTAATTCCCGAAATAGCTCTAAAATTACACGCTTTGAAAACG